GGCATATCAAGCAGAGTTATAATAAACGAGTACTAGTTTTGATACAGTGGAATTCAGCCTTGTCATGAAGTAGTCTTAGCGTATAATTTTTACAAGATAAGTGCACATTTTAAAAATCTTTGATATATCTTTTAATCATTTAAGCTTATATTTTTTATGTTTAATTATAACGTGCATCTTTGAATTATAATATTTATCAAACTCCTACCTATTTTTGTATTTAAATTTATGTTTAGAACCCGAAAAAGTTGTGTGTTGTTTTTAAAGGAGAAAAACCTGGTTTCGCATACAATACAATGATATATTGTTTACTTATAATAAAATACATTTTTGATCCTTAAACTTTGTTTCGACCATCACATTCTTTGCCACACCAGTAGCTCGTTATAAAGAATGTAGATGATGTGTTTGAACACTGATAATTTGAACTCTTCCTAACGGACTGGGTGCGTTAAAAAGTCGTGGTTTCTTCCATGTTTAATGTTTCGTGATTTTCTTCGTTTGTAATGAATCCGACCCGCTATTTCCGATAAGAAAACTCTTTATGACGTCCTCCTCTAGCAATACACTGACGTGCTTTACGATAATAAATAAACCAAACTAATCACATATTTTTAAACGATATTGAGAATTCTGAATATTGTTATGTCATTATGAGGTTGAGTTCGTTTTTGTTTCGGAAATGATCTAAAACTCCATAAATTTAATTTAGGTAATTTTTCTAATGGATGGTAAAGGCATATCAAATATTATATGAGAATATCAAAAACTATATCATCTTTCTTTTACCCAAATACATTATATATGACTAACATTGATGTAATAGCATTCTCTTAACACTGCTGCTTTTGATAGTCTTCAAGTAACTGCATGTAAATATGCAACAGTTCTGAATTTATTGCAGTTCTAGAATTACCCCTTTCTTCGTCCCTGAGGGTGGTTTGACATCTGACTGACGCAGAGCCTCGAGGCTAGATCTCGCATATTGTAGTTCGGATTTGCTGTGACAGCTTATGATTTACGGTGGTGATGTTGATCTGATAAGAGGGCTGTATGCGCAAAGAATATCTGAGTAGAAAGTACATATTTTCATATCAGATATATGTGACTAAATTTGCACGTTGGGCATCTAAAATTGCTGAAAATGCATATATTCTCAATCACTCGAAACTGTCGATATTTGCCCTATCCGAGCATCCCGTATACGAGTATATTTTAACGAAATTTTCGTCTGAGTAATGAGTATATTTTTGTGAAACTCAAACATATTTTAAATACTTAAAAGATATAAGTTCTTAATTTGGAGTTTTAAATCAAGAACAGTTATCTGTTTAAAAATGAGCGAATACCCCTCTCTCCGTAAAATTAAAATAAAAATATTTAATAAACGAAAGCTGGGAAAGGACAGGTTTGAGAAGTCTAAACCTGAGTTCCCTTTTTGCTTTCTATTACGTGAATAAATTTGCTGAAAGCAGATGTTAATATTTTCACCGCGTCCACTTAAAATTCCGTCTTACCAAATGGAAAGGTCATTCAATTTCATGCAGTATATTTCGTTTATTTATTTTCCAACGCCTGAACCGCCATTTAGTTGCTGCAATTAGGCAATTGATGAACTGAATTCATCCTATGGAATCAGTGTGGGAAACATTAATTGCAAATGATAAGTTTTTATAATATTGACAAGCACAAACCTAACCTTTATTATGCACTTAAATGCTTAATATATGGTGCGGAAGCGTTAATTACAATAATAATCAAAATATCATAAAATTCACCCGTTAGTTATATTATAAAATATATCTGGTCAATTTATAGAAAGTACGTTAAAATTTAAGGTTGCGGTTTTTATTTGAAACTTTCCTTCCAAAAAGGAATAAATGCGATAATCCACAAGTTAGACTGCTTTGTTGATAATCTTTTTTAAATGATAATAGTAATAATAAGTGCTCTTCGACGTACTGATAACACTGCTTCTAAAAAAAAATATACTTCAAAATAAATGAGCATCAGGATTATTGTGTTTTATTTTCTAACATAAACTCACTCTATCTGTAGTACGTTTTTTTACGATTATATTTCATCAATTATTATATTCTCAAATTGGGCCAGTCTGTGGTACTTCTTCCTTTTGTTACAGTAGTAAGACTATATCTGTGGATCTATATTACATTATATTGCTGGAAATATCTGTATATTACGTTCAGATGTTGCGATAGTATAACTCACAGACGCCATTTTCTGTTTTTAATTTCGACCTCGCCCCTTTCACCTCTTTAAAATTCTCGTGGCAGCCGTAGATGGCCCCGTCCCTTATAAAGAATTTTGATAAATGACTTCTGAGATCTGTGCCTTCTTTGGAGCTATCGTCGTGTTTTATGGAAGGGCTATTTATTGGAAAAATGGCTGTCACAATTTCAGCCAGCGGATGTTAGCAGCCCCGCCTGTGAGTTATGATCGAGAGAAAGGCGTAAAAAGGGTTGGTTTTGATGCGTCCCGAAAACTAATTGACTTAGCACTTTTAGGACTAGTGGCTCTTCATAAGGCGGGGTAGTAGCAGTTTACTGTCCTGTAAATTTGGTACTATTGCTTCATTTAGAAGCTGGAATACAGGTGTAGAAATTCGTTGAAAAACAGAGACGGAAGATTTTTAAAATGTACAAAGATACTGAAATAAAGGCAAATGAAGTAAAATCATTCTTTACTTAATTACTACTTCTTGCTGCAAAGTTTTGTTTCTAATAATTTCTTATACGATTATTTAGTTGAACAAGTTAAAAGAATAACTGAAAATTCATAAAGATGCACTATTTATATAACAGAACAGTTGCATTACGTATTAGTTGCTTATATACGTTTATAAGCAGTTGATAGTTATTAGGATTACGATTTTTGTACATTAACATTATAATTTTATGGTGTTAGAGACTTTTTTATTATTTACGTCAATGGTGTAAATGCCTATAAAAATTGTACATGAAATATCGTATAATATTATAAACACAATTTATACTAACTTTATATTTATATAAATTATTATGAATAATATAGCTTAAACAACTCATTCTGTACTAGTGCTGTGTTAAAAATATTATTTTCTATAATTTGATAAGACAAAAGAAGTAAACGATAAAAGAGGTAAAAGTGGAATCTATTGCGATGTGCATCTAACAACAATGCTAGATTACTTGGGTGATTAATACTGTAGTACGTAAGGTAACATAAGAGCGTCAAAACGAGAGATTAGTGATAGACGTGTGACATCAGAAGTTGAATAAAAACTAACAAAATAAGTACAAAATGGATTTAAAAATAAAATTAGTAAACTTAATTTAAATAGGTTATTTTATTTTAGTCAAATTTATTTAATAAATATTTTTGCAGCGCACTTATAGTAAAAGATCTCGCCATTCCTGATAGAAAGGTGTATATTTTCCCCGTTATATTACATTATGTTTGTGCCATCACAGCATTCATGCCACGGCATTTCCTACAACTATTGCTAGTTATGGAGCCAAAGATCTTTAATTTGTCTTCAAAATTAGAAAAATACATTAAATATCAATTGGTGTAATAAACTAAATGTTGTAAAAATATATGAGTTCTTTTCACAATCTTTATTTTGTTTTAAGTAGCATATTTATTTGGTATAATGCATAAAACTGATGTTTTTATAAACCTCTACACTATTATTTTTGCTAGTAAGAGGTAGATACGTTTCTGACGAATTGACAAAAAGCTAGATTAGTTACATTTAAACTAAGTGCTAAAGAGTTAGCTTCATATAAACTAAATATGAGTGCGGTCATTTCAAAGTGGTATTAAGGCAAATAGGTTTCTTTTACAACAGTACAATATTTGCAGTTTTCGAGACTGTTTAGTTGATGTACCATCATTTATTTGCATTTTCCATAATTGTACAGTTACCACAATCATATACGTAATAATTGTATTTTAAAATTTTACCTCAATAAATGAACTTGGAATTTAATTAAAACTTGTAGTTGCCAAGTTAGAAATACATCTGCATTAAATAAAGGGTAATTTTATTCAAACATCGTATATACGTATTTTTTAATAGCTAACACATTTTACATTATTTACTGCTTTCACAGAATCCCATTATGGTGGTAAGACATTCGTAATTGTCTGACTACGGATATTGCGACCTAGAATACATTACACTTGCGCGATTCAGGGAGAAATTTATTTACGAAATAGGATGGATACCTGTAGGTGGTATCAGTATCGACATACCATGCATTACTCGAGCACTCGAAATGAAATTTATATATCGATCTATCTAGTATTCTGTATTTACTTCAGAAAGCTGTTTTTCGAATTATTACTCGTGTTGTACTGGTTTGTGCGTCTTTCTGAGACCTTCGAAGCTTGGTTTATATGTCAATGATCAAACAATATTTTGCACAGAGATTGATTCCGTTAGTTTACTTGAGCAATGACTTTGGATTCTAAGCATTCTAAATGCTTTAGCGTTCAAAATAAATAAGAATTTTACAACGTTCATTCGTTGCAACTCTTCCATCATAAACCAAATAAATAAGAGCATTTCCAAGCAAGGATAAATGTCAGCATCACGAAACTGTATTACGAAACTGAAGTATTTTGAATATTGTCGTGGATGCCTACTAAAGTTTTAATAGAGAGGGAACTAAGGAAAGACGAAATTTACATTCTTAGTCACTCGAATATGAAAATTTTTTCGTTATGTATTTTTGGCAATGGAATTGCATTTCAGTATTTAAGATGGGAATGCACAGAGAAAACCCCATTGTCCCATCTTCATGCTAATAAAGCACCTTCATGAGATGAATTTGATTCTGGGGTCACATTTACGCGGCAAAATAATCTGTTTAACACGATTTCTAATTTCTTACTTACGCAAAGAAACGAATCATGACGTAAATTGTATGCAAAGATTGCTATACACAAAGGATTGTACTATTACATATTTTGTTTTTTTCTTTTTTTCTATTTAGAGCTGCTCAGCGCTTGAACTTGTCTGCGAAGAAGAAGAAGAAAGATCCTGAGCCTCCTGTGTTCCGAACGAATTTTAGAGACATCATCAAGACACATCCACCACCTGTACCCCCAGGACTGCTGAGGATAACGGGTCGCAAAGAAGTGACGGGAGTTGGAAAGGTGAGTTAGAAATAAAAAGTAAACAAAATTAGAATGCCATTTGAAATGATTCAGTAAACAAATATTTTTACAAGAGAGTCAAAAGATCATATGGCATTTGAAAAATCAAAATCATATAGTAGACAGTTTTATTATAGAATTATTATATTAACTCCTGCTTCAGATAGTTCTTTGCGATGGTTTGTATGTCTAAAGGAACGTATGATATCGGCAGATAAGATTGCTTACCTAAAAGAGTGCAGAAAAAGAGAAGAAAAGAGCCGTCACCCAATGTTGGGTTAATGGGAGTCAAAACTTGCAGATATTCATTGTAAGATAAATAGACTGTATCGTGAATGCCTGATTATCTCTTCGATATGAGAAAAATCTGCTTGCGTATGAGTGGATCTCTTAAAGAGGCACTCACAAGCAAAAAAGCTCAATATAGATAACGAGATAAAAATTAAGTGTGCTTAGTTAGCCAAAGGATTTTTTCTCGGAAAATAAACATTACTCATAGCCTGAAGTTACTGCAGGGAACATTGTTACATAAAGATGAAATGTTGTGATCTCATTTGTGTATACTCAGTTAGTAAAGGTACAAGTGTTATTTTTTGGCTGTGCCTCATACACTAACATAACGTGAAGTGTCTCAAAACTTTTCATAAATGTACTGAGTATATGAAGCAATTTTGGCTTATAAATCTGTGGAGAAACTAGCAGCTTTTTATGTTTAAAACAAACAGAAATTGAACCTGAGGATGGATTTTATTGTTTTCTCTATTATAACTAGTTACTGATTACTCGTGCCTTGCTTATAAATTGCTAATTTTGTTTTTGTGAGACGATGGGAAAATTAATATAAAAAACCATCAGAATAAAGCAAATTTTCTACGAAAAGGGGAAAAAAACGAAATGCGAGTGATAACAGCGGTGAGAGCAAATGATATTATAGTATTTAGAATATATTTTTATTCACAACAATACAAAATTTATTTACATAATCTGAATTTATGATAATATACTATAAATATCGTTAAAGCATCTGTCAAAAATCAATTGCTAAATCTTAAAAGTAATTTAAGTACAGAACTATTAACCTTCTATTCCTCACTGACTACTGTGAAAATTCAAGAGAAATGTTAACAAAAAAAATCGTTTTTTTCTGTGTCGAAAAGTGTTTTTCGTGTTTAATTTGTTCATTAAATTTATTTTACGATAAATGAACCTGTTCTTCAAATTAAACTGCTAAAACACATAAGTAAATTGTTCATAGTATATTTCTGTTAACTATAATAGGGATTATTCCTCATTACTTAAGCTTTCGTTTTCTTTAGTTTTTTTTCCTTTTAATTGCTTTCAGATCAATCATGATTTTACGTGAACTGTGGGCGTCGGCCTTCGTATTACGCTGGTTAATCGGGAGTCCACGGTAGTTGTAAGGGAAAAGCTTATTGAATATAATTTAAAAGTTATACCTATTATACTAAGAATATGCATATTTTTTATTCTTTGAGAATTCGTATACTTTATATAAAAAAGAGACGTTAATTGGATTTTTAAGTTGAGAAAAGTTTAAGTTGAGAGTTTTTGATTTTACTTAGTATTAAGGAAAGTAGCAAATGATAAAAAGGAATGTAACTTTTATCTTTCTAACAATTTTTATCTTTCAAATAATGCTTTTAGTTAAAAACGTCTGTAGATATGTAAATGTTTTTAAAGTAAGTATCTTATTTAAAAAGTAGTTGAGAGAAAATTATTTACTTAATTAATACTCTCGATGGACGACAACAGTAATCAGTTGAAAACTTTCATCTTTATGCAGGATCTTCTTCATCGTTGCACAGGATTCTTTAAAGATTGAGATTGCATGTAGAGATACGTATGGAGTAGTAAATCGTGTATAGGTTTACTTTTCTGCACTTTTTTTTAATCCCTGGGATTAAAATATATTCCAGACGCTTTCGGGAACATTAAAACGTTCAACATTTATTTTTTTCAAAAGAAATGCAATTATTTAAATAAATTTAGTAATTTATTATAACTTGCGGTTTTTTGAATGGAAGAGAAGTCGTTAACCTTTACTGCAGCGTAAAAGTTTCGTCTGTACACGAAAGGGTTAACAGAGTATCATTGTACAGTTATATACAGTTAGTTACATCAACAGATAGAGATTTAATTTAAGAAATTATTTCCTAACAGTAGGAGTAAGATGAACTATTAGTTAAGTGTGTTTCGGATTAGCGCATTCATGTTGACAAATCGTTATGTGCATGTACAGATACAGCTTCTGAATAAGATTTTCTAACTTTTTATAGAAAAAATTTTATAATAATTAAAATTTTAGCTGAACTGTTACTGAGTCATTTTATTAGTTCGAAAGGGAATAAAACAAAAGATGGAATTTTAAATAAATTTGTCAGTAGTTCATTATAGATGTGTAAGGAATCATCGTATTTCCTCTTGCGCATTATTATGCCATGTATCACTAGAGCATGCACAGGCGAATGCGATATGCAATACTTCCATATTCCCAAGTTAATACATGGAGTATGTGAATGGTAACACATCCATCCTTTCACAACGACTGTTAGCCTCTACACTAGCGTTCGAACTAAAATGAGTAGACCATTAACTCATCGCCATCTGGATGTGGTAGAAGAATTTGGTGAATCTCTCCAATTATCCTTTTACATGAGAAATAATTAAAAAATATTACATGTCCGTGCGTGCAATTGTAATTATATGTTCAGACATCAGAATATTTAGATGGCAGATGGATTATCTGTAACTAGAATCCCAGCGAAGGAGGAAATGATTTTTCATGTTTATAATACTACCTAATTTGGAGTATAAACTAAAATGTTGTGGAGGTTACTTCGCTACCTTGTGGATTTGGCTGACTAGTTCTCGTGCACCCTTCCAGTCTCCCTTTAAGAAGAGAGGAATGTAAGAAATTATACCATTTTTCTCCTGCTCACTTTTGTAATGTGGAGGTCATCATGTTATAGTACATCTAAGTTACAAATGGAATTTTCTTGTTTAATCTCCAGTAGGATGCAGTTGATTTTCCAAAATTTCTACTCCATAAACATGATATTCTTCACAGATACAGATACGAAGAATAACTGCGTTAAAGAAGTTCTTTTGAACAAAGCGTTTGTTCTTCCTATAAATAATATTGCTTAAATGGGTACTAAATAGGTCAAATATACTTGGTTACTTTTAAAACAAATTATTTTAATTTTAATAATAAATATAGGTTCAGTTACCCTTAATGTCCTATTAGATATATAAAATGTGTAGCTCATTAAATACAGAAATATATTAAACATATAAATTTAATTCAAATATATAAAGACACAATCGATTCTCTGAAGTCCTACAACCATCTCCGAGAAATAATGTTATTCCCCGAAAATCTGCAGAAAATTCCGTGGAAGAGATATAATGGAAAAATCTCTGTGGCAGATCAGTGGCTGTGTTTAAAGAGATTAATCACTTTAGAATAAGTAAATTTTGGCATATGGTAACATTCAATAAAAATTAAACAATTCCAGGCTGAAGCGGATGGAAAGTAGACACAAACGTTCGTTATTGCGTTTATTAGACTGTTCAAGTTCGAAGAACAAGTTCGTATAATAGATATACAGGTAGTTCGGCGCTCGCAGGCGCCCTCTTGCAGAGAACAAAATCAAAATTTACGTAAGGCGCGAACATGCCGCCCACCTTAAAATACTATTCATCACATTTAGTGTTAAAATTCATAAATTAAAACACAAAACAATATTAAAATCATGAATAAATACTTAATTTATAATACATGAATTAAACTCAAATTGGTTTAATGGACACAATTTTGTAATATTTCTTCTACCATGCATCTGAAGTCTTAATAGTCACAAACCCTAACAATATTATCAAGACCAGGAGTAACTGAGTAATTCTACCCATTTTCCATTTAGTGGAGGTAAGTTATCCTCCTTTATGAGACAACAGATCATTAACTTGAAGATTTTTAGTTGGCAAAAGCCATTTTGGTCTTTGTTGTAATCAACAGATATTCTTTGTGCCAACGCTTCCAAAATTGTTGAACCATTTTTGAATTGTTGCCATCTAGTGATGGGAAACTTCAATGTAATTTGGTTCAGGAAACGGTTAATGATCTACCAATACGAAAATGACCAGGCGTCAATGCTGATAAGTCATTGGATCATTAGACAAACTTGTTAAAGGTCCGCGATTAAGACAAGCTTCTATTTGTGTGAGAAATGTTCAAATTCTTCATATGTCAATCTCGCCTCACCAACTACTCGTTTTAAATGGTATTTTGTTGATTTTATATACCAGCTTCCCAGAGCCCATCCATATGTGGCGCACCTGGAACATTTAAATGCCATTATCAACCAAATATCTGCTAATATTTTGGTTATAAGTTGCAGACCTAGCAAGCCTCTCAAATTCCATCAGTTTGCGTTTTGCTCCAACAAAATTGGAACCACAATCGCTATATATATCACTGCTTTTGCCTCTGCGGGAAATGAACCTCTTAAGAGCTGCAATAAAAGCATCTACTGAAAGATCAGTCACCATTCTAGGAATAGCTCTTGTCGTAAAACAAACAATAGAGCTATATATGCCTTGATTGACCTAGAGCCTCGACCCTTAATTTGCTTTAATTTGAAAAGGACCTGCGTAATCCCCTCCACAGCGCAAAAAACGCAGGAGCAGGCGAACGTTACTAGACGGCAATCGCTTATCAATTGGTTAGTGACAGATGCTCTAATTTTGCACACTTTATACATTTCCTAACTAAATCTCTGATAAGAGTCTCTACCATTTATGATCCAATATTGTTTCTTGAATGCAAGATTGGCATAGTTGTGGGACCTGCAAAAGTCTTTCATGGTAATGTCTAACAATGAGATGAGTTAAAATGTGCTTCTTTGGAAGCAAAATGGATGCCTAAGCCATATGTTAGGTTTTGCATGTCGCAAGCGACCGCCACCCTGAGAATACCT